TGGGGGGGTGACACGGGGGGACAGGGGTGACACCGGGGGGGGCCGGGGGGGGTGACACTGGGACACGGGGGGGGGACAGAGGTGACACCAGGAGGGGGAACAGGGGTGACACCAGGTGACATCGGGAAGGGTGACACGGGGTGGCCACAAGGACAGGGTGACACCGGCGACAGGGTGACACTGGGGACCCCGGGAGGGGACAGGGGTGACACTGGGGGGTGACACGGTGACACCGGGGGGGACAGCAGGGATGACACCAGTGGGGGGAGGGGGACAGGGTGACACTGCCGAGGTCAGGGTGACAATTCCGGAGTCAGGGTGACACAGGGGTGACAATTCCAGGTCAGGGTGACACCGGGTGACACTGCCGAGGCCAGGGTGACAGTTCTGGGGGTGACACGGGGGTGACACAGCCATGACAAGGGTGACAATGCCAGGGTCAGGGTGACAACTCCGGGTGACACAGCTGGGGTCAGGGTGACATGGGGGTGACAGACAATGCCAGGTCAGGGTGACACTGGGTGACAATTCCAGGTGACACAGGGGTGACAATGCCAGGTCAGGGTGACACCGTGTGACAACACCGGGTGACACAGCCGGGGTCAGGGTGATGTGGGGGTGACAATGCCAGGTCAGGGTGGTAATGCCAGGTGACACTGGGTGACAGTTCCGGGTGACACAGGGGTGACAATGCCAGGTCAGGGTGACACCGGGGTGACACCAGCTGACAATTCCGGGTGACACAGGGGTGACAATGCCAGGTCAGGGTGACAATCCCGGGTGACACTGCCAAGGTCAGGGTGACAATTCTGGGGTCAGGGTGACAATGCCAGGTCAGGGTGACAATCCCGGGGTCAGGGTGACACTGCCAAGGTCAGGGTGACAATCCCGGGTGACACTGCCAAGGTCAGGGTGACAATCCCGGGTGACACCACCGGGGTGTGACAATGTCCCCGCTGTCCCCCAGGGATGTGACGCGGCCGCTCCCGACGGATCCCCCGAGGATTCCCCGCTGCCGCCCCCGCTGTCCCCTCGATGTCACCTCGCTGTCCCCTCGCTGTCACCTCGATGTCACCTCGCTGTCCCCTCGATGTCACCTCGCTCTCCCCTCCCCTCCCGGGGGGACCCTGGGGGTGGCCGGACCCCCCCTCGTGTCCCCTCCCCCCACAATGTCCCCAAGGTCCCCCCAATAAAATCCCTGCAGAGCCACCC